GTTAAGATGCTTTGCTCTAAATGTAAATATATAGTACAGTGCTTTCTTTAAACTATAGTGATGGTATGATCGTACCTACATTGTGGGTGTTGTCCGAGGAAAACTAATCCCGCTATGATGTTGATCGTACCTACTTGCTGGAATTAATTTGAAGGGAAGAAGATTGTATTAAGATTGGCTTTGGAGACAAATTAAGTGCTAAATGGTTGTAAGTACGTATTTACACATCAGTGAGTAAATGGCTCGCCATGCATGTAAAGCTTGCCTTAATAGTGGACCTTGTAGTTTTTAATTAATTCATTGCATGTCACCATTGTATCAATTGTCAGGTAACATGTAAAAACGACAATTATGGATCACAATAAAAACAAGTAGAAACTTCCTGTCTTGAATTAATTGATTTCTTTTAATGGAGTACTCCATCTCACTTAATTATCACTTCCTCATTCAAAGAAACTTTGACAAAGAAAGCAATTAACCAAGTATAAGAAGTGGAAATTAATCAAGATATATAGGACGTTAACTTATAACATAAGAGAATACTTTGAATGTGTTTATTGTATTTTTCTCATTCCGAGGTATATATAATCATGTACAATCCTACTATAATAAAGAAAGAATAATTACAAGTAACCTACAACGTAAACAAGGAAACCCAAAATAATAGGAATCCCAGAATTAAAGGAAAATATTATACAAGTCAACACTTCTCCTCAAGTTGGTGCATATATGTCACACATACCCAACTTGTCCAAGAAACTTGAGAACTTGTCACTAGAACGGGCATTTGTGAGTATGTCAGCCACTTGATCCTCGATCCTAATCAGGGGAAATGCAATTACTTTTCCCTCTAATTTTTCTTTAATGAAGAACCTATCAACCTCCACATGCTTCGTCCTATCATGTTGTACCGGATTATGAGTGATATCCCTAGCAGCCTTGTTGTCACAAAATAACTTCATTGGCAGACTATGGTTAACCCCCAAATCTTGTAATAGAAACTTAAGCCACAAGAGTTCACAAATACCAAGAGTCATACCTTTATATTCCGCTTATGCACTCGAACGAACTACTACATTCTGCTTTTTACTTCTCCATGTTACTAGATTACCACCAACAAAAGTAAAATATCCTGATGTTGAGTATCGGTCATCTACTGAACCCACCTAGTCGGCATTAGTATACCCTTTGATTCTAAAATGCTCATTTTTCTTAAACATAATTTCTTTACCTGGACTCCCCTTCAAGTAACACAATATCTTCATAACTGTACTCATATGTTGCTCCCCCGAATCATGCATATACTGACTAACTACGCTCAAGGCATGAGCAAGATCAGGTCTTGTATGTGCCAAATACATCAATCTTCCAACTAACCATTGATATCTTCCTTTGTTTACCGGTACATGATTATGGTCAAGACTCAACTTCATTCCTTCAGCCAACGGAGTTGCAATAGGTTTACAAGCTGACATCTCGGTTTCCTTTAACAAATCAATGATATACTTTCTTTGGGACAAGAATATTCCAGACTTGCCTCTTGATACCTCGATCCCAAGAAAGTATTTTAGAGATCCAAGATCTTTCATTTCAAACTCCGTAGACAAATACTTCTTTGGAGCAAATTGTTTAACTGTGTCATTCCTTGTAACCACCATGTCATCCACATATGCAATGAGTGTTGTAATCTTTTCATTATTCCGTTTCAAGAACAAGGTGTGATCCCAATTGCTCTGACTATACCCAAATGCCTTCATTGATTTAGTGAACCTGCCGAACCATGCTCTTGATGACTGTTTTAATCTATATAATGACTTCTTTAGCTTACATACTTTACCCTTGTTCATTTCTATTTTGGTACATCCCAATGGAAGCTCCATATAAACTTTTTTAGTCAAATCTCTATGTAGGAATGCATTTTTTACATTAAAATGTTGAAGTGGCCAATCTAGGTTCACTACCATAGACAATAGAACTCTAACAGTATTGATCTTGGCTACTGGCGCAAAGGTGTCGGTGTAATCTATGCCATATTTCTGAGTGTACCATTTTTCCACAAGTCTTGCTTTAAACCGATCGACCATTCCATCTGCTTTGTATTTCACTGTATAGACCTATTTACATCCCACAGGTTTCTTACCTGCTGGCAAGTCCGATAGTTCCAAGGTAATATTCTTCTTCAACAATCTTAATTCCTTATTCATTGCTTCTTTCCATCTAGGATCGGCTAAAACTTCCTGCACACAGTTAGGAATATATAAGTAGACAATTGATTTACAAACGACTTATTTAATTCAGACAAGTGTAAGGTGGACACATAGTTGTTTAATGGGTACCTCACTCTCGAGTTGTGAGTTGGTTTGCTCACCGAATATTTAGTTTTACACTTAGAGTCTGCCTCATAAGTGGGTTTAGGAATACCTCGATTAATCATTTTCGGGAGACTACAAAGCGATGATCCATTTGGAGTAAAAGATGATTGGTAATGAGAATCACTGAAAGACGAGTCGGCATGTACTATTTCTTTTACAACAGTTGGTTCCAACTGCAAGGGGACTAAGGGGGCAGTGTTTTCTGCTATCTTAGGCTCGACAAGAAGCTGTTGTGCAGCAACAACTTGCTCGAAGCTTGGCTGTTGTGCAGTCGACATTTGTTCAATGGTAGGTTGTTGTGCAATGGCCTATTGGCTGCACTGCAACGTGCTGCTTGGTTCCATAATCAAACATACGAATTTCATTGCCTTGAAACTCCCCTTAAAGTGAGTACTCAAAGGAACCAAAATACATCTCCGTTTCATGAAAAGTGAGATCGGCAGTGATAAACATTTTCTTGGTTAGAAGGTGATAGCACCGACAGCCTTTCTGAGTAGTAACATGCCCCATAAACACATATCGAAGAGCTTGATGTTCAAGTTTGTTTTGCCGTTGTGAAGGGTGCACGTGCACGAAAGCCACGCAGTCAAGAACACAAGGGGAAATGTTAGGGACTGATGGGCAACTGAAGAGAGACATAAAAGTATAAAACGGTGTCTGAAACTTGAGAGTACGAAAGGGAAGCCAATTAATAAGGTAGGCAGCAGATGTGAAAGTCGCACCCCAATAATATAAGGGAAGACGTGCCTCAAGAAGAGAAGCACAAACCATTTTTAATAAATGTCGATTCTTCTGTTTAGCCACCCCATTCTGTTGAAGGGTATATAGACATGTGGCCTGATGAACAATATCGTGCATGTCAAAGAAAGAACGGAGTTTAGTATTAACATACTCGCCTCCATTATCACTTCGAACCACCTTAATTTTCATATTGTATTGTATCGAAACCATTTTGTGAAATTTCTGAAAGGCCATACTAACATCACTTTTTTATTTTAACAAAGTAACCCAAGTCATTCTCATACGATCAGCAATAAATAAGACAAACCAATGAGCTCCACCAAAAAGGCAATTTTGGAAGGGCCTCAAACATCTGAGTGCACAATCATAAAAGGAACGGAACTCTTATTTAAACTTGGAGGAAAAAAAGTTCGATGGCTCTTAGCCATTTCACACACATCACACTTAATCTGAGAAACATCGTTTTTCACAAACAAACTAGGAAATAACTTATGCAAATAACCAAACGAAGCATGGCAAGACAACGGTGCCATATCCATACGTTGGACCCTTTATTATTCTCAGCTGGAGTCCCATTCACTGACAATGCTTGAGTGAGCAATCCCGAGCTACTGGAATTCAACTCGATGAAGTACAGCTTCCCTCGTCTAATACCACAACCAGTCGCCTTCCGCGCCTGGATGTCCGTAAAGACAAAAAAATAAGGCCAAAAAACCACCAAATAGTGTAAGTTAAGGGTTATTTGGGCAACCGACAATAAATTGTAATTCAATGAGGGAACCACAAGGACAATATCAAGTTTCATGGTATCAAAAAGGGAAACCGTGCCTTCCCCAAGAACTGGGGCGGCATCACCATTAGCCACATTAACCTCGGTGTGGGTAAAGTTTTTTTAGTGAGGAAACCTGTCTAGAATCACAAGTCATATGTTCAGTAGCTCCATAATCAACTATTCATGTATTATTCATAACAGAAGTGAAGACATTAAGTGCCTTACCATTGGTACCTGCCGCAGCAATCAGAGAAGATGCTTTGCTTGCTACATCCGTTGAATCATCATTGGTTTCTGCAACAGAAGCTCGAGGTTTGTTGAAGCGAGGGTCATGTGTCTTATCCTAATTCTCGGGATACCCAATCAGCTCGAAACACCAGCTTTTGGACTGTCATGTCATACCACAATGCAGACATTTACCTGAGAACGATCACAACTGGTTTGGCAGGTTTTTGGCTGTCCAATTTTAGTCTCGAACCCACCTTGGTCGGTGCGGTTGGAGGGGCCTCAGGCCTTGGCTGCCATTATAGTCGGTTCTGACCTTTAGCCTTCCATCTTCATAGCTTCTTTGTGATCCGCTTCACGACGGACATACACATAAGCAGTATGAAGTTCAAGTGGTGGGTCTTTGTGCTTTATTTCGCCACAAACCTGATCAAACACATCATCAAGCCCATCAAGAAACAAATACAACATTTGTCGCTCGGTTGTCTTATGAAAGAATAATTACAAGCAATCTACAATCTAAATAAGGAAACCCAAAATAATAGGAATCTCATAATTAAAAGAAAATATTATACAAATCAACAATAACATTCATCAAGTACTTTTATCAACGAGTGAGAGAAAAACAAAGAAAACATTTACCATCGCCGACTATAGTTTTTGGCTTCGGTTTTTAGTTTGTGTGCCCTGCGTAAGACTACGAGGATCATTTCGTGATGTTTCACAAGAGCTTCTTTGTCATTAGAAAGTGATGTAATATTTTGTCCTCATGAGCATTATGGTTGAATGTGCTTACGTAGTTGAGATTTTATATTGTCTTTTATTGTATTTATAATCGTGAAATTATATTCTTTGTCTCTCATTTTAATTAATTAATGGAATCTTTCTCATTCAAACATAAAAAAAGTCCAATAAAACCAAAGAAACAACAAATTGACAAAAGGCTAGTGTACAACAAATTGAATTGAACATTCAAGATAGAAGCCAAGCCACCATGGCATCAGCATGATCACCATCACCAGCAGCAGTAGCAGATTCTCCTTCCCGCAACCAAGACAGCATGTTTTGTCTGTCATGGCCATCCCATAAGTAGTCATGCCCAGTCCCAGCATTGCTAAGTACACTCTCCCAATCCCATAATATTTGATCGTGATCTCCGAATCCACCTGCAGTATGACCGTCCTCCGTATCACAATTAATAGTATTTGTCAGTGACAATGAAGAGCCGCATGAATGCAAGTCCCCCGTCACAACTTTTCCGTTTGAGTTTGAGATCGACGACGTGGAGCTCAAATTACAACCGCAGCTGCTACTCTCTAGCTCCTGATCGTGATGATCATCACTGGCTGCCGTAGTAGTAGTCGTCGTTGTTGTCGTCGTCTTCATAACTTTGTTTGGACTTATGACTAGTTGGTCACATGACGAAGGTAATTCTGTGTCCTGATGATCACTTATAACCGCGTTCGGAAAATGATCAGCATCTTGATGAATGTTTATTTCACTTGAACTTAAAGCCATAGCCCCATTTGGATCCAGTATCTCGTCCTCATTAATGTCGTCCATCAAGTAGTCAGTAAAACCCAACAACCCTCCATTAATGCCGACATATTCATTCATATCATCGTCGCCATGTACATGTGGATGTGGTCCTAAAATTAGTTTTTCGCCATCAGTTTCTTTCTGATGATCAATGACCGTTGCCGGCATTGCGGTTCCTCCACCTCTAGTTTCCTGCTGCTGGTCCGGGACCCCCATTGGTAGCACGTAACCGTCCTGCATGGTGTCCACGTTTTTATTATTACTTTTAGTAGGCAAGGCAATTGCCTCGTGGGCATTATTGAGACGATCATCATCATCATCAGCAGCAGCAGCAATATTATCGTGTTTGTGGTGGCTCTGCCTCAGCCGGGCCTTGAGGCCTTTGGGTTTGGTGGTAGAGGAGGTTTTGTCCTTCTTCATGGCCCAGCGACTGGTTCTGCCGCCCCTTCTTTTGGGAGGGCCTAATTCCATAGCTGCGGAAACTTCATCACCGGCTGGTGGGAAACTGGTGCTAATTTCAGTAGTAATGGCGGTGGTGGTGGCAGGCCTCCTGAAGGTGCCAATTTTTCTGCTCAAGTGAGAGTTCCAGTAGTTCTTTATTTCATTGTCTGTTCTTCCTGGTAATTGACCCGCTATCAAAGACCACCTGCATCATATATACATTCATAATGACAGTAATTATTAATTAACCAGCAACGTTAAATCAAAACTTTATTTGCATTTGCATATTTAGAAAGAAAAGAAACGAACATTATATACTAGGAGTAATTCTAAATAGACAAAATTTACAAACTAAATGATGTATTATCTATAAAAAATGAATACGTTTATCGACGCTTAAGTAATAATTCAATCATCAACTTTCATATCATTAAGTTACAAAATTTTACCTACAAATTTAGTCTCTCTAACATTACATAATGCTATAATATCTGATATCTACAGCTAGCTAGGTTTGTCTTTGTTCCCCTTTACATTAAATTTGAAGGCCAAATTTTATGGTCCCAAAGAAAAATTGTCAAGCCAGTTTGATTATCGCGAGCATAAAGACAAGAAAATGTAAACAACGGCAACTTGTGCTAGTCAGACAATATGACATGGAAGAAAACAACTTATACCTACTATTGCATAATTGGCACGAGACATTATAGTTTATAGTTGTGAGTTTTTATATTAATCATACAATATCATGTGAAAAAAACTATTTATCATATTGCATAATTAACATGGAACACTGACATAGTAACTCTGTGTACTCAGTATAAAACAATACCATGTGAAGAAAAGTCTACTCATGGTATTACATACTAAACATTTATCACCATAGTAACGGAATATACTCTATAATACAAATCTTTCTAAACTAATTCAACCCTTTCTTTTATTTTCCTTTTTCAGTTCGTGTGGCCTGTGGGGACATTTGATATGATATAGTGCTTGTGTATCCCATGGGGGACTTATTTGTCTTCTCATCTACGCTTAACGAGCATTTATCGTTCAAACATCATTATCAAAATCGTTCATTATCTTTTCATCATCCAAAGATATGGAAAAAAATATATATATAATTTGGAGATTTTCAATCATCCATATACATAAAACAAATGAACAGTTCATCATGAGGATACTATTTGTTATCAAAATTATTGATTGATTTAACACGTATAGATGACTAAACGATATTCAAATTGAATAATTTTTTGCAGATATAATCTTAATAGATAATAAAGAGAACAAACAGTTTCAATTATGATGTTCAAGTGATAAAACTTTATTAATTGTAAGTGGTAAGTAAGTCCCTCAATAGGAGACAAACAGTATCTATGATATGCTTTAGATAATGCAGTAAAAAAATGTGGTGCACGAGAAATCAAGTAAAAAAATGTGGTGCATGAGAAATTATGGAGGAGCTTCTATATTTATCAAATCGTTGTAATTACAAAAGAAGCCATACATTATTTGGTATTAAAAATTGGTCAAACCGGTGCAGAGTAAATGTGCTTTTTTTTTTTTAACGGTGGAGAGTTGATATGATCACGGTGCATTCGGATTATCTCCGATTCTCCACAAATTGAGTTTAATGATCAAATGATTCGGATTGTTGAAATTTGATCTAACGATTATAATATTATAACTTTTAAAAGAATTCGAATCATTTGATCATTAAACTTAATTTTTGGGGATCCAAAGAGGATCCGGGTTCAATCACGACAAACCAATTCAACGTGTTTCCCTCAAAACAAACAACAATAATAATAATTAGTGCTAGCAGAGAGCATACACTTTGTGTGTGTGTGAACAATTTCTCTTAATAAGTGCATATTTTTTTTATACTATTATTAAGATAAGCCTCCTTGTCAACTTTTTTCCCTTTTTTTTTTTTTTCTATGTTGCTCTCATTTTTGTCAATAGTGTATCAAAAGTGAGGACAAAATAGGAAAATCCAAAAAAATCATGATTTCACTTACATGTATGAAAAAATGATGATGAGATAATTTCTCTTAATAAATGCATATTTTTTATCTTAGGTAAATATTTCGATATAAAATTACTATTTTGCCCTTCTTATGTAAATATTGTGTATCAAAAGTAAGGGCATAATAAAGAAAATGTTCAAAAACTACAAACTTACTATTTTACCCTCCTCATGTCAAATATTGTGTATTTAAAAGTGAGGGCAAAATTGAAAGAAAATGAGACAAATAGTTGACAAGCCCTCCCTCATTCGTCGTAAATTTTACGATCAGTTTTTATCAAATACTATTTGTATTCAATTTTAAATATAAAATTTAAAATAATTTCTGACTGCACAATATATAACGAATAAACATGATTAGAAAATCTTCAAAATCCTCAGAGAATTTAGAGAGGATGTTCATTCGAGATTTTTATTTAAAATATAAATATAAAAATTAATGATTAAAGTACTCGGAGTACTAGTAGTCTGGAGTACTCAAATGGTTTGCCAGAGTATACGCCTTACCCAAGTAACGACAAAAAGCAAATTTGTTTGCCGACAAATGACAATGACACGGACAGCATAAAAAAACATAACAATAATAGCTGCAAGGAAAAGAATGTTGACAATTCAGAATCCAGAAGAGAGGAGGGGAATGGGGAGAGAAGACGATACTTTGATGTTGTATGATATCCCCCTTCTTCTCTCTCCATTCCCCTCTTCTCTTCTGGACTGTTTCTATTTGCGTTTGAATTTTTATATAATTATTAGTAAAAGAATTACGATCCATGAAAATGAAGTGCATGGGAAAATAATTATAATTAGGCTAATTTATGAATTTAATTAATGCCCAGGCTTATGAGTGAGTGACTAACCTATTACCCAAAGAGGCATGCAATTTGATGATGATATCTTCCTCTTGAGAAGAAATATTTCCCCTCTTTAAGTCAGCTCTCAGATAGTTTATCCATCTCAGTCTGCAACTCTTACCACACCGCAGCAACCCTTCAAGTTGAATAATTAATAATATTATTAATTTAATTTAATTGTACGATGCATAATTATTAACAAATTCATGATAAGAAGGACAAGTAGGTACCTGCATTCTTCGGTAAACACCTCCAGGAGCCTTCCCCATTGGCCTGGATATAATTGAGTAACATTTCATCCTCCTCCGCCGTCCACCTTCCCTTCTTGAGACCGACTTTCTCACAGCAAGGCGCCCTCCCCATTTCTCTCCAGTTAATCTCTCGACCGAGCCAAGAATATATACAACAGAGATAATTCACAAGTAACGAGTCCTCACTGCGACAAAGATCACTCTGAGGCTGCTAAGACGAGGGTTTTAAAAACGTGATTTACACAAGGAGAGGGTCCAGCAGGGTGGGATAAATATGAGCCCCCGAGATAGAGAGAGAGAGGGGGAGAGAGAGAGAGAGAGAGAGAGAGAGAGAGAAGGGAGGTGTACTGGTGGACTGGTGGAGGTGGAGGTGGGGTTCGCCATTAAATAAAAAATTGAATATTGATAGAGACGGACGTGTGGTGGAAGATTGTGCCACGAGGTCTACATGTCCATACCACACTCGTGGCTGCCTCTGTGTCGAGGGCCTCGTGATGAGGAAAATTTTAAATGTGACGGGAACACGAATGGTATATTATGTATATTTATGTAAGTGGTGAAAATTTTTATTTTTCAAGTAATTAATTTTTTGACACACAAATCTCACAATTTGTATAATAACACGTGATGTACTATCTCGTATGCTGATCACATTGAAAAATCTCTCATCGTGAGGATTGTATCTCCCACGTTGATGAACCTCCGGGCCCTCTCTCCCTCCCTCCGTCCCAACCTACTAGTCATGTCATGTCCTTCCTAAAAAATCAAAGGACAAAAATTGTATGTCCTCCCGTGTCCTCCTGTTTTGTATGATCATGATTAAACTATGTTAATATTTTATATTATTTTTTTATAAAGATAATAAGATAAAAATAAATAGTAATATAAAATGTTGACGTGATTTAACTGTGATCACACAAATAGAAGGGCACGGGAGGATAGACAATTCTTGTCCAAAATCAAATGTTCTGTTCGTATTTTCTGTCTCCAAAATATTTATAATCTTATCTACGTCCTACTTTTCTAATATTCAATCACTTGAATTTGAACTATTTAAATATAATGAGATCCTCTCTAGAATTAGTATTCATGAGTCTCCACCCAATCCATCTTCCCTTCTCTTATTTCATTTTTCCGTTAAGTAGGAGGGCTTTCACGTACCTAATTATATATGTAAGGCTACGTCCGTAGCTTAGCATACTCTCTACTCAGTATTGGAGATGTGAGCTGCTAGCTGACCCCTTGGTCTTATTTCTTCACTAATTTTATGTTACAACAAACGTTTTTCACAATCCATCCATCAATGAGTTTTCACGAAAAAACAAATCGTAACAACAACATTTAAATGCAACCACCGCATTTATTTATATCGTATATACTTAATTTTGCTGATGATGTTCTTGCTCTGCTCTCTCCGGGCCATTCGTTCATTCAATTCAAGCCTCCTCTTGAAAACTTGAAGAATCCTCGACGTGTTTCTTTCTACCAATCACCACGTAATCATTTTATTTTTATTTCTTCTGATATTTTTCTGTTATTAATTCATTTGTAACGGGCCCCATTGGTCAGGATGAGGTGGGCTGCAGCCCACTCAAGTTCTGAGCTAGAAAATGAGTACCCTGATTCATTGTAGGACAATATAAGAGCAAAAGCAATGGGGCCTGCCTTGTGCCTGGCCCTGCAGGATCTGAGAAATGTATGGAAAGCCCACATTCCAGTCTTTATTATTTGGGATTTCATTTTGAAGAAATGATACGGAGCCCAAACATCATTTTCGACGTGTCCATCGGATCTACAAAATAAATAGCATCGTCGTCGTCACGGCCTCCAGTCCGGTTCCAGGAATGCGCATCAAGGAAAGCCTATCCGACGTGGCAGACGATGATTGGGTAGAACAACCATACGCTCAACGTGATTGGCCAATTTTGGAGGAAAACACGTTGCAAAATACAAATGGTTTGACGCAAAACAGAAAAATTGAATTGACGAAAAAGTGGGTTTCAGAGTTTTGTGTTGGAAACCGGAAAGGAAATCACATCACTTAACCAACGGACCAACGAACTCCAGAACTCCATCCCACGCCTTCCTGCTGCCAGGAGAGGAAGACTCTCAGGAGGAAGAAGAGGACGGAGACCCTCGGACCCGCTGTCCGCCGAGAATTCAATCGGAAAGAGAGAGTTTGAGTGGTCAGGGGAGATCCACCATCCAACCCCTAATCTTTCCTTGCAATGGCGCATCAGAGAACCAAGCTTGTACTTGTCTTCCTCTTCTTCCTCTGCTTTGCTGTTGCCGCCGTCATTGCGGTCGCAGGGAAGAGCTATTATGAAATACTGCAGGTGCCCAAGGGAGCCTCCGACGAGCAGATCAAGAGAGCTTACCGGAAGCTCGCCTTGAAGTACCATCCTGATAAGAACCCCGGCAACGAAGAGGCCAACAAACGATTCGCCGACATTAACAACGGTACTTCGCTTCCTTCCTTCTCAAATCTCAATTATTTTCGAGCTAATAATAATCAATGATAATGATGCTGAGAATAATAATGGCTACTTTGATTGATTTGATTAGCATACGAAGTGCTTTCGGATAGCGAGAAGAGGAGCATATACGATAGGTACGGAGAAGAGGGTCTGAAACAGCATGCCGCTACTGGAGGCCGAGGCGGCGGCGGCGGCATGGGAATGAACATCAACGACATCTTTTCCGAGTATGTTTCATTGGATTTTACTGAATTACTTTTCAGTTTCATTACTCCATAATCCATATAATTACTCACTTCACATCATAGTTTTGTTCATGTTAGCTAACTACACCAATTCAAAACTGAAGAACTAGAATTTTGAGATTTAATGTCTCTAATCTATGGACTGTGGGTGAGTATGTGCGAGTTTAGTACTTATTTAAAATAAGGTAGCTGGTGTTGATTCCGAATAACTATTCAATGAGATAGAGACCGTGGAACCACACAAACACTGATTGATCGTGGTTTATCCAATTCAGTCCATGTTGAGCTATATCTAGATTTTACTATAATGTGGGTTACATTGTACATATAGAGAACTGGGAGTTGCCAAATGATGAGAAAGCAAGGAACCCAAAGATATGGGTGAGGGGACCCTTTTATAGGGCAAGGGGTTGCTCTCCACTTCACATATTTAGTGAGGCCGAAACCAACGGTGCAAATAGCTGTACTTGTTGCACTTTTCCTACACTCACTTTTTTTTGTTTCATATAGGTTTTTTGGTGGCGGACGCCCTTCGGAAGAAGAAGATAGAATCATCAAGGGAGATGATGTAGTCGTCGAATTGGACGCAACATTGGAAGACCTCTATATGGGAGGCTCATTAAAGGCAAGAGACATGTATAGCTTTTTAGCTCCCAATTAAGAATATGCATGGCTGTCATCCAGTATCTGATATTAAGCATTCTTCATGCATTGTGATAGATATGAAGTTGTTCACCCGTGCATATCAACCATGACGGAAAACTATATATAATGAAAATGAAGTTTTAGTGGTAGCCAATTGCATGGCATCACTAATCTCTCTCTCTCTGATATGGTCACTGCTTTTCGATGTATTGTGTTTGTTCTGACATCTTGTTTCTACATTTACTACATGCTAGAGAAACCAAGTTTTCCAAGCCTGTAGGCTCTGCTGGATCTTTCCATTTCTCTCTGTATGACTTTACACTCTCTTTATCAGGTTTGGAGGGAGAAGAACATTCTGAAACCAGCACCAGGCAAGAGACGTTGTAACTGCAGAAATGAGGTCTATCACAGGCAAATCGGTCCAGGGATGTTCCAACAGATGACAGAACAGGTATATGCTTCAACAATTGTTTCTTCCAACAAAGTCTTCTGAGTGCATTTCTATATTTTTTGTTTCCCTGTTCCTTTCTTCAACTAGTTTCACTGGCTATTATGCTACTACCATTCTTACATACTTTGTTATGCTCTTTCAGGTCTGTGACCAGTGTCCCAATGTCAAATATGAAAGGGAGGGATATTTCGTCACTGTTGATATTGAGAAGGGGATGCAAGATGGGCAAGTAAGATTTCATTCTTCATTTTCTTTTGAAACTTATTAGTTCTGTCAATTTGCTTATGCCAGTTAACAATAGATAACTTCTTCCTTGTGCACATATTCGAAAATCTCTTCCCAGTGTTTCCGTGTATTGCCCCATATGCAGTGCATGTTGGTGTTTTAATTCCTGTTGATTCCTGATTTTAGAGTATCATTCTGAATATTCTGAAATATAAGCTTTTGTTCTGAGCGGTAACTTTTATTTTATTTATATTATATATAAGATTTATGGAACTGGTTGATATTGTTTCAAATCTAGTTCGTGAGTGTATAAGATTTATGGAACTGGTTAATTTTGTCTTTTTACAGGAGGTGGTCTTCTATGAAGATGGTGAGCCTATAATTGATGGAGAACCTGGAGATCTAAAAGTTAGTTCTATGACCTTGCCAACTTGGTTTAGTAAATTGAACATCCATGGGCCATGTTCTGGCAATAATTGTCCACATTTTTTTTGCAGTTCCGTATCCGCACAGCAGCTCACGACCGGTTCAAAAGGGAAGGCAACGATTTACATACAACTATCACTATCACACTGGTATGACCGAAATTAATTTGTGTGTTAGGTTTAATAAGTTGCAGCTAGCATAAGGACCTTAAAATTGGACATACAAGTTTTTAGGTTGTAGAATGGAGTTGATTTCTTGGCCTTACAATGTAATGTATATACAGGTTCAAGCTCTTGTTGGCTTTGAGAAGACTGTTAAGCACCTTGATGATCATCTGGTGGACATTAGCTCAAGGGTGAGTCAGCATAGCATGTACTTGTTAGCTATAGGGAAAATTGCTTTAGAATATGTCATGCTTTGCTACTTTTAAAATTTCCATGGGGAAGGAAAGGGATTCATAAAATAGTACAAGTTAGACTGAGGTTTACGTTGATAACGATGCAGGGAATTACAAGGCCCAAGGAAGTGAGGAAATTCAAAGGGGAAGGGATGCCTCTACATTTCAGCAACAAGAAAGGAGATTTGTATGTAACATTTGAGGTTCTATTCCCGAACTCACTAACAGATGATCAGAAGACAAGGATCAAGGCGGTTCTGGGCTAAGTAGGTAGGTATAGAGGATATATAATTTTGTTTTTGTTTTGTTAGTTTAAAATGTGTTCCAATTGTAACATCTCGAGAGACGTTAAGAAGGCCCTGAGTTCTTGTTTGAGCCCCGAGCCCCTCCTCTCCTCCTGAGTTTAGCTAACAGAGTAAAACATTTTATGATAAAAAGATTATTTGTTGTTGTAGTTATATCATTTGTGTGGTCTGCC